AAGTCCGAATTTCGACAGTACCAGTTAAAGTCTGATTGCATGTACGTCTTGTGTGTCCCCTGCAACACCTCTGAAACAAAGGTATCAAACCCATGGCAACATAACTCTTACCACAAACACACAAAATCAGATCGGCACCCACTCCATGTCAGGACAAACTCTTTGGAGATGTCAACAGTCACAAGTCACCTGCGGTTTTCTTTTAAATACATTCTCTTTCAGGTGTAAAGATGTAAGCACAAGCAACAACAAAAACAACAACCCACACACTAAAAATGATGAGTAAACAGTACATAACAAATATTTTATATGAGAACATACAAACGATTAAAGCTGAAGTCGACATGATCGACTTTTTTGCACCGGGTTTTACTTACATGGCCCGGTGTCTCCGTGCAGAACCGTTGGCCGCCTGTCAAGAATGTGGCACAAAGCACCAACTCTGTAACTAAAGCGAAGATCCCGTGAATATCTGTAAAAATTTCAACCGAGAACTTAACCGTGAAACAAATCCGACATTCAGAGGCAAGTGGCTTGATCACTTGGCCACGGAGTACGAACCAACCGCTTCCACCCCCCCCCCCCCTCCCCTCCGCACCCCTCTACACCGCCCCAACCAGCTCCCTTGATATCTACAAGCTATTAGCACATTAACATGTTAAACTCTGCATGCAGTAAACACAACACGAAGATCAATGAATACAAAACCGAAACAATACAAGTTAGTAGAACCCCTGGCCCACTACACACACAGCTGAATAGTTCTGATCTGAATCAAGTTAGGGAGTTTAAATATCTAGGAAGTATGATCATGGAAGATGTACAGAGAAGTAGAAACCAGATGTCAGAAAGCAAGTGCGCTTATATACCAATTGTCACCATTATTAAGACATCCAAGCATAACTATGAATCCAAAAGGACAGATTATAAACAGCATATTGATTCCAACATTAAGCTACAAGTGCCAAAAATGGACTCTATCTAAAACCCATATACCCAAAATTACCACCTGCGAGATGTGATGCTTGACAAAATCAGCCAACCTAACTATCCGAGAATGGCACTATCAGACAAATTGTCGGAATGACACCTTGTATTAGATTCATCGAGAAACAGCAGCTCAAGTGGTTTGGTCATCTCGTTAGAATGCAGCAAGATCATATACCAACACCAGCAGTACTTCTCAGAAGATCAGCTACAAGAGCAAGAGGATGGCCGCAGAAAAAAATGTATAGGCAAAATTAAAGACACTCGCCGTCTTTACGGCATGACAATAGGCAGTGGCAGGCAGCGTACACTGGATCGCAAATTATTTTTCCTCACGCCGCTTAACAACAGAAGTGGTTTATGATGATGATGATGATGACTAGCCCTGACCAGAACTATAACCACAATACATACTGCCGTTGTTAGAGTTTCTTCTCCTTTTTCTTGGCGTTCACTGACTGTAAACTCTGGCGGAAAGTTCTGGTTCTACCTCCACTACTGAATTTAACCTTGTTCCACAACTTGAATTGTGTATGTACATCCGTTTTACAGATCTGTTTTTTTTTGGTGTATGCAGAATGCGGGTTCATAGCCTCTAAGGCAGATGAGCTCTAACTTCGGAAGAAAAATCCCTATTTAGTCGCCTTCTACCTTATGCTTGATAGGGAGGCAGTAGGTCTGTTCCATCTCCCTCCCCTCAACCGCAATGCGGCTCCGTTACCTACATGGGAGCCGTTAGAGTTTGAAGCGTCAGGACATTAAGTATCATTCCTGATAGGTTAGTTTGATGTTAGCCTCTCCAAATAGAGTAGGTCACTTTTCATTCACAAGTTTGCTGGGCTGGTCGACTTTCATGAAGGTTACGGGTGTGTCCCGCTCTGTTTGCTTTCTGCGTTGTCTTGCATTTACGTTTTCATTCTGAGAAAGAGAATGCCTGTTACATAGGTTGCAGCACCTCCTGGGGGAGGGGGGTTGTGTTAGACTCAGTTTCTCATTTTTTTTTTTGTTTGAGTGTTAAAAGCGCTAGCGTGCTGAAATATACAACAAGCGATATTAACGGCATGTTCATAACAAAAATGCGTGTGGGGGTGGGGGGGGGGATACCATATTGAAGATTCAAATGATTCCAGTTCAATCCCTGGTCAGTTAAATCTTTTTCACTTGCTGCTGTTGTTATACCGTAACTTAATAATCTTGTTGAAACTCTAAACTTGTAAGGGTCGATATAGGTCTGACTGCTTGTTAAAGAGTGCCTAATTTTGGTAATCATTAGGGTGCAGGGTAGATTATACAACCGATGAAGCGTCAGTCACCTACAGTACGTGTGGCACGTGGAACGATTTTCAGTAACACGATGGGTGGGTTAAAGTATATAATTATGTAAAGATCAATAGGAAGTATATCACTATTTTAAAGATCAATAGAAAGTATATAGTTATTTTATAGATCAAATTATTGTGTTCAATATGTCCATAAGTGCATAGGGGACTTATATTGTCACACTAAAGGACTTTGTGAAATGTCTTCGCCAGAGAACCACTAAACGGCTGCTTGTTTCTACGGTATCACTGGCAGATGTAGGAAGCTTCCCTTCCCCTAACCTGTACGACACCTTATATGTGCCAAAATGGAGAATGGACAGCAATTGTCGCCACACCTCCAGTCCCCGCCCCCCTCCCCCTTCTTACAAAACACACACACACACCGATGCACACACACGCCCAAATCACGGCAAATGAAGAAACAGGACATGCTGACAGCAGGGTAACAGTCAAGTGAGGGACCTCTTTTTTACGCCTTCAAGCTTATTGGGTATATAGGGCTAGACCTATATTTTATAGACCCAACGGTACTTGTTGTGTGATGGGGTTCTGTACGTGGTAACTATTTAAGGCTGGGTCGACCTGGGGACCAAGGTTATTTTTGAAAAAAGTCCGGTACTCGTCAGGACCTGAACCTACAACCTTCCGATCTGAAGGCGAGCGTCTAGCCGCTACACCACGGCATCTCCGTGCTCTGATCATGCAGGATATAATCCGGAGCGATCCAGTCTACACTCCACCTTTAAACTTTTGTAAACTTGCCACAGAGCACGGCCATCTTTAGCTATAAATAGGCCAACTGGGTCAACGGGGATTCCCGTTCTTGTGCAAGAATTGAGTCCCTCTGTGTTAACAGTTTTTATTGAGGAGATGTATGCACAAATTAAACTACAGTTTCATTAATTTTCTACATATTTTATAGAACTATACGTCATTTTAAAGGTAAATAAGTGTGCCGAATAAATATAACAATAAAGGCTCTTACAGACAAACAAAAATGCTTTTGCTACAGTCAACATGAACATAAACATCAATAACGTTTAGATGAAAACTAAAAGTTGTTCCAGCAAAAGTAAAGAAATATCAGTGCTAACTCTTTGATTCTGAGAGGGTATTCTTGCATCAGAGGAGCGAGAGAGGGAGGGGGGGGGGGAAGGGGGGGGGGGTGACATTTGTACTTTATCAAATTTAGCGCATACAAATACTGCTATGAAAAATACACATATCATACATAACATAAATATAAATAATTGATGGTTTTTATTATTATTAGTAGACTACTACAACATATAATTATACTGTTATTTAATAATTAGTAAACAAGCACAATCAGTATGGCAATACTTTTTTCACCCAGGGTTGTTTTCTTAACAGTACTTATAGCACTACTAAATATGTATCCTCAAGGTACAAACAGCACAAACAAATTTGTCCAGTTTCATCTTGTTGGATGAAATCAATTCCTTACCATTGCGAATTTTTTGGTAAATATGCATAGGAAGTGGATGAACAACCAGAAGTTTCCACAAGAGATTACAGCCAGTGTTCGCGAAGCAAAGTAAAAGCCAGTTTACACAAATTAACACAGACCGTAAAACTGCAAACATGCAAAAGAAGTCGATGAACTACCAGAAGTTTCCGCAGGAGTTTACAGCCAGTGTTCGTGAAGCAAAAGCCAGTTTACAAAAATTAACAGACCGTAGAACTGCAATTATGCAAAAGAAGTGGATGAACTACCAGAAGTTTCCGCAAGAGTTTACAGCCAGCGTTCGCGAAGCAAAGCAAAAGCCAGTTTACAAAAATTAACAGATGCAAAAGAAGTCGATGAACTACCAGAAGTTTCCGCAAGAGTTTACAGCCAGTGTTCGCGAAGCAAAGCAAAAGCCACTTTACAAAAATTAACAGACCGTAGAACTGCAAATATGCAAAAGAAGTCGATGAACTACCAGAAGTTTCCGCAAGAGTTTACAGGCAGTGTTCGGGAAGCATAAGTCAAATGGTTAAGGATTAATATTATTAGTGTACTGCTACAACATATAATTATACTGTTAGTCAACAATTAGTAAAGAGGCAAAGAGTGACTTGCTGTGAGAGGTTAGTTAGTAAATTAAATATTATTTTCATCCACTTACCTAGAGCTCCGAAATATCTTGACACAATTTATCCACAGTGTGGTTGCACCATTTATGCATAGTCAATATGGAAGCAATAGTTTTCTTCAAACACAAGATAGTTTGCACCTGACAACTGTCGATGTTCTCCAGATATGGCTTCTAAATTAACTGTTTAAAGTATTTTCCCTAAAAGTAAGTTTTCCACATTCAAAGTAAAAAAAGAATAAACAGCCAGTTCCCAAAAATCCAAACTACTGACTAGAAACAGTGACACACATCGCAACACGACCGTCTCCCGTGAATTTAAATTCAAATTGCTGTAATCTAACAGCAAAGTTTGAAAATCTTGTATATCTACTTCAGAATATCCACTTGTAGATATGTAATACGAATTCATTCAGAACACAGAACTTTGCAAGCACATTAAAATGTCACACAATGCAAGACATGGAAAGGGCTTACACTAACCAGTTTTCGAGGGACTCCATCCAAAAAGTCACGTGATTTAGTTAGATGGCGTAATCTAGAGTTGGCGGTGCCACACAGCTAATGCAGTAACACCTCTTGTCTCCTGCAGGTTTGCCAGCGATCGTGTTTCAACTGCTCGTACTAATAATAGCACAATCGCGAGCTAATCACAACCGGTGGTGGTCGTGTGGCAGCGAATGCTCACGCTGCGTTCGCATGGTCACCTCCATGGAAGATCTCATCGTGCAGTTTTATCCAGGTCTCTTCAGCCAGGCACCCCCGGGAAACATTGTCCTGTCACAAGGTAGGGATTCTGTCTGTCTTTCTGTTTGGGGGTGGGGGAGGGGGTGCTCAAGGGGCCTAGGTCATGTTTAAGTGCGTAGTGATGGTAGTCTGGTAGTCTTAGTTTCAGCTTCATAGCACTGATGCTGACGATGATGATAGTTATGATGATTCTGATGATAAGTATGTGTTAAATCAAAATAGATATAAAATTATTACAAATACTGCTTCGTATGTGTCATCCTGACCTACAGGTGCTAGTCATGGACAACTCACAGAAGCCAGCTTCAGGTCTCAGAAATGAGATATCTGAGAAAGGTGGGTGATCCAAGTGACAAAAAATTGACAAAGTTCGCAATCAGACAACACGTCAAGATCTTGATACTCGGTCCTTACAAACTAGGGTGGATCAGTCACAGTTACGATGGTTTGAACATGTATGCAGAATGGAAGAGAATCGACCACAATGGCAGGCATGGGAGGCCAAGAACCAGGGAACCAGACCACCAGGGCGCCCGGCTCTCTAGCGTAGCTGGCTAAACCGGATTGCGCGGTGAGCGGGTGACGAACTCCTAGTGGTCCGGGTTCACTCCCGGGGGTAGGCAGAAAAGCCACATTTCTTCCAGATTTACGGTATTTACAATGGAATCGAAAGGTTACGATATCCATAATACCGAGCCTAAGGGTTAACAACTCATGGCTTCTGGATACTAAAACAAACAAACAGACCACCAGGGCGACCAGGGTTCGCTGGGAAGACAACATCCGACAGTCGCTGATTGACTGAGGACTGGCATGTAACAAAGTCAGAAAGAAAACTACAGATGGAGAAGTCAGGCGATCTCTCTGGCTGCCTTCTCTCTCACCTGTACTACACCTTACATACAAAGATGGACAATGGAATGCAATTTTCGCCATACCTCTAGCCTCCCCCCTCCCCCAAACAAACACACATGCACACACACACGCACACGCACGCACACACATACACACATCACAATACGTCAGATGGAGAAGCGGGACATCTCTAAACCTCAAGTCACAACACGTCAGATGAAGTAGCGGGACATCTCTAAACCCCAAGCTAAGCGATCCGCGATCTTTAAGAACGTAATAGTTCGGTTCGGTGCTACCAAACAGTCTTTTACATATCTGTCTCACTTTCCCTTGGGATGTCGTAAAAAAATACCTAAATTCCGCACTGTTCATTTATTGCTGCTTATCATTATTAGTTGTGCTGAACCAATCGACACCACACAACACTCATGTAACATAATCCGTAAGCGCTCCGTCCCCATCTTTAGCCACAAACGTAAAGTTCCAATTTGGGTGCTACCAATAGCAGTCTGATTGTATATCTGTCTCAACAGTAAATGTTGCTGCATCGTAAGTTCATATGTGTACATTTGCCTATTCAAGATAACTCTCTTGAATCGTACATATTGTTGCAGCTCGCTCTAACAATTCATAATAGCCGTACCCAGTAATAAATCAACTGAGTCACGTGCTGATGTTTTAGGATAACACTAGACAACTCTTGTTTGTAGAACAGTAGATCTCCGAGGAACAAACTGCATTGCTCGAAAGCCATGATGTTGTCTTTGAAGTCCATTTCAACGACACACAAAACTACCACGTTTAGCTTCTCTGCGCCAAATCATCCCATCTTACCTTCATTGGGTGCTTTTGTATATTGCAGAAAATTGTCCATCGGATCAAGCATCTGACTGTTCGTTGGGTATGAATGTCAAGGCTGATTGGAATAAAGGCAGACTGAAAATATCCATATAATAAATAAGATAATACCAGTCATTTGTCGAAAGTCAAAAGAAAAGTCTTAGTTTGAACGGAAGAAACATAAAAGTAAAGGTAACTAAAGAGGGAAAAAAAATCCTAAATGCAGACGTTTAAATAAATGGCACAGAAGTAAAATAGGCCGATACAGTGAGGCATTGATGTATTCTGATAACATAATAAATATAGAACAGCCAAACAAAAGCAGTGCAGACTGGATAATATCCAAAGCAATCAATCTTTGTTAACTAAGGATTTGCGAGTAGAGCTGGTAAAAGAATCTCTAAAACTGTCGCTAGATTATGGATTTTGTGCTTTGTGCATACATCAGAAATGACTGGCATTACTAAAGACATGATGCTGGGGACATAGATGTCGATCAATGCCTCACTTCTTAGGTTATTCTAAAATCATATATGGACATTGAAAAACCGTTATGGGACATTGTATTAAAAAAAAAAAAAAAACTTGTATGACACCACAACATCTAGCATGAGATGGTAGGCGGGGAGAGTCTGCTTCTGACCTCTACTGGAATGACTCGCGGCGTCAGGGCAGGAAGAGATCTCTGGAACGGGCACCTTCTGTACGTTTCGTATAAAGAACTTTTCAGTGTCTCTGATATTTCTCCATATTCTGCGTGCTCTACCTCTGGCTCTGTTACCGCTGACATTATTGACAGCTTTTCCTTGACTGGAGAGCAGCACAGCCTGACATGTTTTAAATGTAACTGACTTACTAGGCATGCTTCGGAAAATAGCGAAGGCCGTTCTTCGCTAGTGTGGATACAGGACAATGAAGATGCATTGCCTATGACGTACGGCTGGATAATTGGATTGTCCTACGAGTAGAGCTTCTAGCATCCATTGACTCGAATTAAGAACGTAACTTTGATTTTTATTTCCAGTGAAGTTCCGATGCACTAAGTAACGAGCAGGCTGATAAATTGGCTGGCGCCGCTCCTCTGAGTGGTGGGCTACTTTATGTTAAGGTAAATGTAGTAAAGACTCTCTGGGGTTAGTATAAATGATCAGACAAAGAATCCAATCATTCATTCATTACAGTGTTACAGGGAGAAAAAAGAAGCAGGTGCTATTGAAAACGACTAAAAAAATAGTTGCGTGACCTTAATTTGACGTTGCAGAATCCACCACATAATTTGCTAGCTATTTGTGACTTCAAAATTCAATTTTACGCTTAATAGTTTGCCATTACCTATGTACGGTCGGCACTCGTTATCACTGTGGAACCAACACCAAGCGGTCTGCTGTCAAATAACCCGTAGCTGGGATCAAATCTGACACCTCAGAATTACGAGGCGCGTTCGCAACGCATATACGGGCTAACATAGTAGTTAATTACTGCAGGTAATAGACAACAAACGGCCGTTGTGACCTGTCCGTATCTCACGTTTTTGTGTACGTTTAAACTTGTCATAACAGACACGATCTTTGGCAGGTTATGAACAAGTCGGCCAAACAAAACTACATCGATCAGTCGAGTAGAGATAGGAAGATAGGAAGACAGATGGGGAAAGTGAGTGAGGGAGAGAAACAGCGTGACAAAACACGGTGAAAAATATAGAGGGCGAACAAGGAAGGGTCAGAGAGATAAGAGACAGACAGTGGGACGCAAACATGGAGAAATCTAATGGAAGGCGCTGGGCGAGACAAGAGCATGGTGAGGTATGGAGAAGGAAGAGATAATGGAAAAGGGGAGGGAGGGGAGAGAAGGAGGAAATAGGCGGGAAACAGTGAGTCAGAGAAAGAGGGAGAAGAGAGGAGAGAGGGCAGAAGAAACGCATAGAAAAGATAAGGGAAAAGAAGCGGGTTAAGAAGAGAAGAAGAGAGAACTGAGATACTTTGAGTAGATTTTTAACTCCAAATTGTGTCCAGGCAGCGCCGTTAGGCTACTCCTTTTAATTTATAACTGCCAAGGAATTTTTTTTATGTGTGCAACAATGCACACGGGCGTCCGATCTCACTACCCAGATACCAGGGGAAATACTAGAAGTCCAAGTCCACGTGAAGAAATCCCAGCCCTTACCGGGGATTGAATCCGCAACCTCTAGCACTCGAGGCACCAACAGAGTATTGATACATACAAAGTTATGATTTAAAGTAATCATTTGATATGAGCAAGAATAAACGACAAATTTTCTTCTTTAAACAGGAGTAAGACCAGGGATACTAGCACCGTGCCGAAAATAAATCCTCACTATGGCGTCTGGTGCACAAATCGTTTGGTGCTAATCGCATCACCGGCCACCTGCCGCATATATAGTCCGTTTAAGAAGTTGTGCCAGCTTTTAAAATCTGTAACTTCTGGTTTTCATTTCGACTTATTCGCGGTACATGAATCAATTAAAATAAAATAATAATAACTGATTTAAAGCAAACAATCCGTATGCTTACAGTAAATTTTTCCCAACTTTAAACTGTGCGCGTTTCACTCTCAGCTGGTCATCTCCATCATTAGCATCCCGCGAGTTAAATGAAAGCAATTTTTCGCTGATGCAGGATAGGCTATCAAAATTATCACAGTGTATCGCTGTACATGTGAATGGATTTACAATGTTCATGACTGTGTCAATTACTTTGTGTGTGTGTGTGTGTATGTGTGTGTATGGTTATTGTGTGTGTGTGTGGATGTATATACTGGTGTTTTTTTTAGGGCTACATACATTATTATTAATGTAAGAAAATAACAGCACTTGTGTAATTGTACATTATAAAATCGTAAGGACATTAGAAATCTAGCGCCGCATGCAACAATTGGTGATGATCTGTAGATCTGTAGATCTGTACAGGAGTTTTCAACATTTTTGTTAAAGACTGAGGACACCACTTTTGAAACACATTATAGCAAAGGTGAATCCCCAGGGCAAACGGCCTACGATCCGGAGGAGCATCTGTCGGATCCGAAATCAAAACTTTGCTGATGGCTGTCAATAAAACTAGACACATTCAAGAACGCACACTTTCGTGACGTGTTAGTACAGTGGTACTCAACCTGTCTAATGCAGCGACCCTTTACTACAGTTCCTCATATTATGGTGATCCCCGGCCATAAAAGCGTGAGAGAGAGAAAGAGAGAGATAGATAGAGAAAGAGAGAGAGAGAAAGAGAGAGAGAGAGAGAGAGAGAGAGAGAGAGAGAGAGAAGGAGTAGGGTGGAAGATGGGGGAGGGGAAATAGATAAGAGGGACAGAGTAAGACAAACGCAAAATAAGGAAGAGAAAGGGAGAGATAAAGAAAAAACGGCGTGTGTTTGTGTTTGTCTATATGCGTTAGGAAGATATAGGAAGGCAAAAATAGAAGAGGGGACGATAAAGAGGAGAGAGAACTGCATCTTGAGACGGACAAAACAAAAAATGGAAGCCAGTAGAGAAGCAACACACCATTGGCTAATCATTGATTGGGAAGGTTTCAACCCTGTCCAAGTTATGGAGAATTAATTTGTCTTTTAATACTAATTTCTTCCAGGTGTGCACCTCGAGTCTGGTTTATCCACTAAGCAAGATTTGTTTTTTTTTTTTTTTTGTTATAGCACGCAATCCCGCATCATTTTTGGCTTTCTCTCTTGGTATGGAAGGGTGTCGACACATGAAATGATTTAATCTTATTGAACATCGCAGTTTGTGGAGCAGCATGATCGCCCATACCAGTCCATAAGGCACTTGACAATGATGATGATTATGATGATAGTCTGTGTTAATCGTTTTTTTTTTTTCAGAAACATCAAATAACAACAGCTCGACTGTCAACAGCGGCACGGCCATGATTCCTGAAACTGGTCGCCCAGCGACGGCCAACAACTTCAGCAGTAACGTCTTCAACCCGACAGTGTGGGACTTTAGTACCAACGCCAGCAGGAGACACCACCAGCAGTCTGTGTCACCTGGTTGCTGTGAGACGTAGGTTTATTTTTAGCGTCTTCTAGGTGATATGTGACGTAGGTTCATTTTCTATAGTGTCTTCTGGCTGGTGTGAGACGTAGGTTCATTTTTTTAAGTGTCTTCTGGCTGCTGTGAGACGTATATAGGTTCACTTTCTTTGGTGTCTCCTGTCTGCTGTGAGACGTAGGTTCATTTTCTTAAGTGTCTCCTGGCTGCTGTGTGACTTAGCTTTATTTTCTTTAGGTCTCGTGGCTGTGCTGTGAGACGTACGTTCATTTTCTTAAGTGTCTTCTGGCTGCTGTGAGACGTAGATTCATTTTGTCTAGTGTCTTCTGGCTGATATAAGACGTAGGTTCATTTTCTTTAGTGTCTTATGGCTTCTGTGAGACACGGGTTTATTTTGTTTAGTGTCTTCTGGCTGCTGGAAGACGTAGGTTAATTTTTATAGTGTCTGGTGATCGGTCTGTTTACATTGTTGCTGTTTACTTTGCCTTTTATGTTAGGCAAATCCTCTGTATACCTATCTCGTCACGATATAGACATCTAAGCCTCTATTTCGGATAGATTTAAAGGGACAACGAACGTAGAACGTTATTGAAAACGAAATTCATAATTTGTTTAAATCACCTTTGATCACTGGCATCATGAGAGCTAATAGACTGAAATATTTGGGGCATATTAAAAGAATGTCAGATGACAAGGAAGTAAAAACTGTATACATCAGGGAGATGAATAAGCAGACCAAGAAGACGATGGAGAAATAATTTCCAGACAGACCTGCAAACACTTGATGTCACCAAGTGGAAAGAGAAGGCCAACCAGAGAGATGAATGGAGGCGGGTGATATCTGCAGCAATGAACCTCAAGGACTCGGAATGCTGAAGAAGAAAAATAAGTAAAAGAATCCTCTAGATAGTTGAGTAAGTCTGATGCTGTGGGGTTAAGGTCTGATCCTTGAAAACGTCTTGCACCTGTCATCCGATCTTTCAAAGCGACTTGCATCTATCGATTTGAAGTTTGCCATGGAACCTTTCTCCTGACCTGGTACAAACTTACCATCTACTGGGGAGGGAGGAGGGGGAATGGGAAGTTGGGGGGGGGGGGGGGTGCTAAGGTGGGGGAGGGAGGGAAGGGGGCCGAAAGCATTCTGAAATGTTTGCATAGTTCTCATAGTTCTCTTCAAACAGAAACCAGCGGGGTGTGCAGGACTGGCACTGAAACCTAATCTGGAGTGAAGTAAGTTATGATTGAATCCGGCTACGATTCAGCACAGGGGTACACAGCTGGGAGCCGCCGTGGTGCAGCCAATACACGCTTGCCTGCAGACATACATGTCAGAGGTTAAAATGCGATCGGATCCTGGCCTTTTTTCCAGAAACTATCTTGACTCCCAGGTGGACACAACCTAAAATGGGTGCTATGTAAAGTCCTGGGAAGTATAGGCGGACAGTGTGATGTTGACCACATCATCCACCGTGTGCTGATTGGTCTATAGAATATAGGTTTAACATTGTGTGCTGAGTAGACCCCGAAGGCGTGGAAAAGGGTCCCTAACTTTAAATACAGACTTGACGTGGCGATTATCCCAATGCTGGCTATTTATTTTATACAGGGATTATTGGCATCTCATTTGTCAGCGTGGAGAACAAGGAAGGCAATTACTAATAAACTACAAACATTCATTAACTGGTGCCTGCGCAGAATAGAGGGAATTAATTGGTATTATAGAATCAATAATGAAGAGTTTTGGGAGAGAACTAAGCAAGCTTCAGTGGACCAAGAGGTGAGGAAAACACGCTGGCGTTGGATAGGACACACACTGAGAAAACTGGAGAACAAAATAACTAGAATGTCTTTGCGCTGGAACCTACAGGGGCATATAAATCAAGGAAAGTATCCCCCGGCCCCCAAATAAAAACCCACATGGAGAATGGAGCTGGATAATGAAGTTAGAAAAATGCGGGGGACTTGGGGAAAGCTGCACACTACTTGGTGTGAGTTGGTTGAGAGCCTATGCTCCATTGGGGGTTAGAAAGGCAGAAGAAGAAGAAGATGAAGAACTGTCAGCGTACTCAGTCCTGCTGTCCAGAGTGTTATGCTTGTAATTTAAACTCTTTCTGTCCATTGTAATATTATTATAAAGACCTGTTCGCAGGCTACTATAATGTTTCATTCATAGATATTGGCGGGGAGAGTGGTTACAAGGATACAACTTAGGAATTAGCATCATTCTTATATATTATGTGAACTGCTGTAAACAATTTTAAAGAACTGAATATTTTAACATAATCATTGTCACATAAAGTGCAAATAGGGTTCAGTTAAGAAACTATGTGATCATTATCATCGTTATCTTTCTCATCATCGTCATCATCATCGTCATCATCATCATCGTGATCAGATGACAGTCGTCGTCATCATCATCTTTACTTTAATGATCATGCTACAAGTATTTTGCAGAGCATTCCTCTGATCATAACCCTCCGGGATAGATGTTTTAATGGCAAGTTGGACAGAAAATGTGTTGTTTCAAGAAGTATCGCAATGAGTGGCTTTGCGGTGAAAAGAATGTTGCAGCCGGCAATTCTGGAATGGATTTCTGCGCAGCCAGCTGAAGATGGAGAAGGATCGTTGACTGGAATATCCGGAAAGCTGTGTGGAAAGTTCCTAACCCCTCAGCCCCAGATTCGCTGTCAAACTGTTTATTGTTCTTTTTCTCTCATTTCGCAACAATAAATATATTCCATGCTTCATATATTTATTTATGAAAAGAGCTAGAAAAAAGACAAAAGCGAGAAGATTCTGGATAACTTTTGTCATGATAGGAAAGTTTGTCAGAACACTGGTTGATACCAGCGGTTAGAGATGGCAAATTGTGGGAAAGATATGATACTATTCGCCAGTCGACAAGGCACTTAATGAGGATAGGCAGTGACATCATGGTGGGAAGGAAACCGTTTTCCGCTGCTGGACAACAACAAAAAGCAGTGCCACAGTTAGCGAAACGAAAAATTTCATTTTGTTTTAAATGCACAGCATCCGAAACTAACAGGCTGATCTCTTGAGGGCTGGGACAAATTAAAATGATTTACATACATTTTAAATGGTTTTAGGATACGAGGTTTATTGTACTTTGTGTTTCAGAGAAATCGAGTATGCCACACCAGTCAATTTCACAGTACGTGGACAAGTATACCAGGTTGTTCATCTTAAAAATGCATTCCAGTTCATCCCTGTTGGCAGATGCAAGTACGTCCACGACCATCACTTCTCCTGTTCAAGTACACGTTGTTTGATTCGAAGACACATACAGAGATTATTATTTACAGTATTCACAGTATTACACATCTGTTTATGATTATTCCCTACTTCCTAAACTGTCATGTCTAGGACTTCCTTATATTCTGTATCCATCTTTTTTACTGGTCGGCTCCTGCCCCCCCCCTCCCCCTAGAACCAGACCCCCCAATGAAGGTTCTTTCTCAACCATTATGGCATTTAATACCATATTTAGTTTAGTTTTTGAGAAATGGTAGTCTATAAGCTCTTCGGATGTTCCGATCCGGACAGAGTATCAGTGCTTTTCTTTCTATTGATCTATAATATTCTAAACATCTTCGTGTGATAGTTACATTGAATATCTGTCATGGGGCTCCCAGTTGTGCAAAACAAGACAGAAAAATTGCATTTATACTGATACTGAAGTCGACGAGATTGCACAGGATTGACATGAATGGAGGAACAGCCTGAGAGTCCTATGTGACATTCATTGGCACAACATGGCAATGATAATGATTATAATGATTATGAGGATGATAAGACTGATACTGGATGCTTTACACAAGCCACACGCATATAAAAGTATTGAGGTACACGGTACATATGTTTTTTAACACAAACACATGATAAACACATTGTCATAATCCAGAGACACGATAAAGACATTGTCATAAACAAGATACGTGATACACACATTGTTATAATCCATAGACATGATATAGATATTTGTCATAAACCAGATACTTGATAGACATTGTTATAATCTATAGACATGATATAGATATTTGTCATAAACCAGATACGTGATACACATTGTTATAATCCATAGACATGATATAGATATTTGTCATAAACCACATACTTGATACACATTGTTATATGTGGGTTCCGGGGCCCCATTGTAGGGGAAAACAAGAATAGACCCACTGCCTACCCAAAAGCATGTCGTAAGAGTTGACTAATTGGGGAGCTTCCTTTGAAGTCGGAGTGCATCTACCGGAGAGGCAAGGAACCAACAGTCTGTATTCAAGAGAATGAGATCTGTAAAACTGATGCACACGCAACACTCAGGTTCTGGAGCAGGACTGCAGTTCAGTAGTGGACGAACAACCAGAACTTTCCGCCAGAGTGTACAGCTGGTGAACGTGAAGAAGAAGAAGACATTGTTATAATCCATAGACATGATATAGACATTTGTCATAAACCAGAAACATTATACTCATTGTTATAATCCAGATACATGATACAGATATTGTCATAAACCAGACACACGATACAGACATTTTCATAACCCACAGTTATGACATATACATTGTCATAATTGCATGATACAGACATTGTTATAACACATATACATTATTGAGACATTGTCATCAACCAGATACATGATACACAGATTGTCATAATCCAGAGACATGATACAGACATTGTCAGAAACCAAATACGTGATACACACATTGTCATAATCCAGAGGCATGATATAGACATTGTTATAAACCAGATAGATGATACACACTTTGTAATAATCCAGAGGCATGATAAAGCCATTGACATAAAACAGATACACGACGCAAGCATTGTCATAACCCAGATACACAACGCAAATAATAAACGATAAACTACGCAGACATTGACATAATGCAGAGACTTGATACACACATTGTCATAGTCTATATGCATGATACAGACATTATCATAAACCAGATACATGATACAGGCGTTGTCATAAACAAGATACATGATACACAAATTGTAATAATCCAGAGACATGATACAGAATGTGTCATAAACCAGATACCTGATACAGACATTGTTATAATTCAGTTCCATGATTCAGACATTGCCATAATCCACATACATGATAAACACACTATTATAATCATTGTAATGAACCAGATAAATGAGAGACACATGTGTAGCAGCCAAGATACATGATACGTGCGTGTATACATGATACGTGCGTGTACTTTTGCAGACAGTTGATACACTCACGTGCACAAATTACGAGTATCTAAACACACTTGTTTGTTTCAGGGAAGGCAGCACATGCAATTACGGAGAATGCAAGGAGCAATACCGTGCACACTGGGTGCTTATCTACAACGCCACAGAATCCAGCATGGGCCCTCCTGTCAGCTTCAGTGCCATTGAGGTGCCTTCGCATTGCGAGTGCATCAACCTGAGCCGGTCTGCAAAATAAGTGACCTGGCGGTTTGGACAATCTCACTGCGACAACAACAATAAGGGTTTGTCTTCCGCGCCAAATACCAGTCCCTTTTGGCATATCTGAAGATGGCAATGCTTTAATTATTCAAACTGTCGATTGGTTGGCTGTTTGTTCGGCTGAATTTGTTTGGGTTGGCATCAATAGGTAATACAAAATATAAAACAGGTTTTTGTTGCAAAATCCGCATAATGTGTTGTTTAATAACGAGAGAAGCATCAGGATTTAGGGTGTGAATGGGTGGTTGTGGAGTTTGGAAAAGGAAGTGAGGGTGGGAAGGGTCGAGCGGATAGGCCCGGTGTGGTATGACGTCACAATAATCATCAAGGTTATACTTATCGGCGTCTTCTTCTTCTTCTTCTTCTTCTTCTTCTTCTTCTTCTTCTTCTTCTTCTTCTTCTTCTTCTTCTTCTTCTTCTTCTTCTTCTTCTTCTTCTTCTTCTTCTTCTTCTTCTTCTCCATCTGCATTCGCCCTCACTCGAGGTTATTGGCACGTTGTGTTGTGGTTTACAACTATGTGCTATCTGCACTTTCTGACCTAAAATATCCGAGTTCAGCAACTCCCTAATTAGTTATCATTTACTATAAACTTGTTAAGGGGGTTATCTACCCTACAGTATCATGTTACTAGTTTAACTCAAACAATATCTGATTCTTGGCTTTCACAGTTCTGGTTGTTCATCCACCTCTTGACTTTACACTTGTTCCAGAACTTGAGTGTTGTGTACACATCTGTTTTACAGATAAGACTTATTTCTGTGTAGAATGTTGGTTCCTTGCCTCTCAGGCAGATGCACTCCGACTTTGAAGGAAACCCACAGTTAGTCAACTCTTTCGACATGCGTGTGGGAGAGGCAGTGAGTCCCCCCCCCCCCCCCCCCACAATGGAGCCCTAGAGCTCACTCGGGGAACTCATACAATATCAAGTTAGATCCGATCATCATGTACCACTAAATCCTGGCTTTACTTGACTTATTCAGTACCCAGCGCCGCACCATGCGTTTCTTTGTTTTATCTGCGCTTGTAAACTTTTTTATTTGTGTGATTAATCCAGATAGACTAACCCACACGACCTGATTGATTTCTAAAGTCTGTTCCGTTGTGTGTTTGTTTTACCCCACCAGGACATCACACCAAGCAATAAATACAAGGTGACACAAAATGACACCATGCAGATGAGGATCACCCGTGGAGAGGTCCTGGAAACACCGTTCAACCGTTAGGTTATATTAGGGCCCCCGCAACAGTGTGGCGCTTTAAAATAACGAAAAATTGCAGTTCTAGCAGGGAATCTTAAAAAAATGCGATTTTTGAATTTCGAAACAAACTTGGTATCAAATTAAAGATTAATCAATATTCTACACGTTTCTGTATACATTTTTTAAAATCGGATAAGTAGTATCCGAGTTATGATGGCTCAAAGATGGTCAGGTCTTAGGGGAAAAAAAATTGAAATTCGTGTTTTCACACATACACATATCTTTAGCGACAATGCTAGCCTTCCTAACAGTTTTCTTACAATGAACGACCCCTGTACTGAACAACCAAAATGGCTGCCTTTGCAGAATCGTTTTTACATTTTGTTTGTTCTGAAATCAGTTGTATAAGTAGTATTCTAAACAATGTCAAGTGATAAAAAGTATTGTAAACATTCAAGGAAGCGAAAGTTTCACGGGAATAGGTATATGAGTGCTACAAAGAGATGCAGAGAATTAGTTTTAAATCATACTATTGAGAACGACAAACATACAAACATTGACATTCCTACAAGTAATTTGTGGATATTTAAATGTAGTAGTAATAATAATAGTGGAACCAATACCACAGACAAAGTGGCCACATTCACAGTGTCACGCCCACTCACAGTCGGTCATCGATAAAAATCAAAGACCTGTATGGCACTGATGATGATCCAGATAGAGATTTAGAAGAATGATGAGGCGAACACTTATCCTAAAAGTGACAGTGAAGGCTACAGGATTGTTGACCTGAAAATTCTATGTCACCAAATTTAATCACAGCTGGTTTGTTACAAGCAAGTCAGACTTACTGAGAACGAAAGACAAGGACTTGGTAGTCAATTTGAATTTGTGTGCAGCAACCACAATTGTAAAAGACAGGCCATTTTTCATTCCAACTCTCAAATTAGTGTCAACTACAGCAACAGCTTTCAAGTACACTCAGTCAACAGGCAAGCTGTTTTTGCTATGTGCTGTGCAAGAAGTGACCGTTCGGACTTGCAAACATTTCGTGGAATAATGAATCTTCGGCCGCCTGTCCAGAAGTTCACACATAAACTAATAAATGATAGGGTATAAAGTACTTGGAGATGGTGTCACCATTCTACACTGGTGAAAGTAATTTTTTTTTTTTTTTTTTTAAGGGCTGATCCAAGGCCGTCTTCCAATTCCAATTCCAGTTGATTAAAAAAAAATTTCAAACTTTATATTTTTTCAGCTGCCCGTAGGCCTGCTATATAAAAGAAGGTTCCTTGGCTATCTTATTTGGTTTCCTATACTTTGTGGTGTGAAGTCACACCAGATATTAAACATAAGGCTGTCTTCAATATTGAAGACGACGTTGGTTGATCGCTGTGCCGTTTGAAAACTGGCGACGTAACTCCCTCTACGGTCTTCTTTATTGTGTTGTAACGGTTATTTCCCTTTTAACATTATAGAGTAAAGCTAAATTTCCTTTCGACTATAAATTTGTTGTAAATAAACAGGATGTTGCTGAATCACTTGTGAATTTATCCGTGAGCAATTTATTAAACAATAAAATTTAATTAAATTAAATTAACAAAACACACGCACATTAAAACACTTTTTTTTTGTAAAAAAAAAGGCACACAATGCACTAAAAAGATACAAATACAAACATAATTTACCAGATGATATTTTGTACACAAGATTTTCACAATTAAATTTGTTATCATTTTTTTTATTGTTTGTATGCTCTAGCATATAGTTTAATGGACACAAGAGTTTAACTTATTATCTTTTTAAAACTTATCTATATTTATACAACAACCAATAAAAGCGAAGGGCACCATAAATGTATACGTAAACACTATATCATATGTATAATTATATTTGCTTATACCTGTACCAAATTGAGTCAATTATTATGTATTTTTAATTAGGAGCCTTACGTTTTTATTCTTCTTCTGAAAGTCCACGCCGTCTGTCGTTGGCAGTCATGTTTATCCACAACCTTCTGTCTTGTGTACTTTCAATCAACTTTGACACAGCTGATCCTCCAAGTCATGATGTCAAACTGTCCAGCATATTTTATCTCGGTATCCCTCTGCCCCTCCCGCCCTCCAACTTTCCTACCGTCATGATGTCAAACTGTCCAGCATATTTTATCTCGGTATCCCTGTGCCCCTCCCGCCCTCCAACTTTCCTACCGTCACGATGTCAAACTGTCCAGCATATTTTATCTCGGTATCCCTCTGCCCCTCCCGCCCTCCAACTTTCCTACCGTCATGATGTACTCCAGTTTGTTTTCCTTCCCATCACATGACCATAGAATGTAGACTGTCTATTTCTGATGTGGGCAATCAGTTCTCTTCCTAAGTCTGTTTCTGTCGAGACATCCTCATTTCTCTTTTTATCTGTCCAAGGTATTCTCATCATTGATCTATAAAACCACATCTCCGTAGCTTCCAAATAAGTTTTCACTAATTTACTAACTGTCCATGATTCACATCCGTATATCAAAATAGGATTTAAATAGCTTTTAAAAATTCTGTTTCTTGCCTCAACTGACCAAAAAAATTGCATAAAATATGGTTTATTTGGTAAGATGCTGCCTTTGCTTGAACTGTTCTACATTTAACTTCTTTAATCCACCTTTCCCTAGGCTCGAATCCTCGGTAAGGCTGGGGATTTTCTTCTGTCGGGGGCAAAATAAATTTATCGCATGCACAGTCCGTGGCGACAGCACTAGACATGCTGCCTTAAATCCTTAGTCTCAAAGACTCCCATGCCTACACCGCAAAAGTGGTAAAATAAAGGCAGTAATTGGCAGTTTTGGCATTATATCTTTCATCTGATGTTGTCAGGGTACCCAAGTACTTAAGCATATCAACTTGCTTTTATTAGTCGTGGTAGTTCGCGTTCAACGTCACCTGCTGCATGTAAACTCTGCGAAAAGGTCTGGTTGTTAGTCCACCTCTGGACTTCACTCTTTTTCCAGAAGCTGAGTGTTGCGTGCACATCCGTTTTACTTAACTAACTTATTTGTGTGCAGGTTGTTGGTTTATAGCCTCTCAGACAGATGCACTCCGACCTCGAAGAAAGTCCCCAATTAGACGACTCTCACAACACGCTTGTTAAGGAGGCAGTGGATCTATTCTTGTCTCCCCCCCCCCCCATCCCCTCTATCTGATCCCAGGACCCACACGAGGAAGTCGTGGTATAAATAGATAAATACATTTTGTAAAGATAATAAGTTAATCTCTTGTGTCCATTAAACTAATTTATCTATTTTCTTCTTTGCGTTCACCAGCTTACACTCTGGCGGAAGGTTCTAATTGTTCGTCCACTTCTGAACTGCAGTCCTGCTCCAGAACCTGAGTTTTGCGTGTGCATCAGTTTTACAGATCTGATTCACTTGAATGCAGACTGTTGGTTCCTTGCCTCTCAGGCAGACGCACTCCGACTTTAAAGGGAGCTCTCAAATTAGTCGACTCCTACGACATGCTTTTGGGTAGACAGTGGGTCGATTCTTGTTTTCCCTACAATGGGGACCTGGAACCCACAGATGGAGGGAGGGGGGGGGGGGACTATATTGTAAAGCCGGGCAATTTAAATAAGTTTACCCAGGGGCCAATATGTTAACAATGTGGGGTCGTCATGGACCATGGGCCTGAGTCCCAGCATAGGCAAAATATAAACATGATGATAACAAATGTTACTGTGTGTCCATTCTACCATCTGACAGATTATTTTTTTTTAAAAAAGGATTTTTTT